TCAGACATCACCGATTGAGCGCTCGGTGACGTTGCATATCGTGCTCGTTCAGAAGTCTCAGAGTCGCGGCCGTGAGCCCTGCTTCCGGATTTCCGAACCCTCTTTCGTGCCTTGCCTCGGTTTGCGAACCAGACTCGATTTTCTCTGTTTCTTTTCCTGAGGGGAGGGAGAGGTCCCGTAGACCATCTCTCAGTGGCCGTAGGCTACATTTGGTGGCCGTAGGCCATTTTGCCCATTTCGGAGCCCGGTTTCTGGTTTTTCGGGACCGTTGGCCGTGTGCTTCGGTTCGGGACCGCTTAACTGTCTCCATTCGCTCTGAATTTTGGCATACATCTTATTTGCTCCCTTTTGAGGGACACTGGGGTCTGAGAAACCCACTTCGTGGCCGAACGCCACTTTTGGTGCTTAACAGCTCATTTTTGGGGCCCCGAACTGCGTGTTTTGGCCCCCGATCATTCGTTTTGCATCGATTTTCGTTCATTTTTGGTAGGTACCTCTGTCTTATCACCAGGAAGGTCACTGGAGGGTGGGAGGCCAGCAATTATCTTGGCAACCAGTTATATTCCATTTTCGCCCTCCGACACCCGTTTTTCTCGCTTTCGAGCCAATGTTGAACACCTTGGGGCCACTTTCTTCAACCTCGAACCACATATTTGTGTTGTACACACATGGGAGGACCCTAAAAATTCATGGCTGGCCACTATTTCCATTTGACCCTTTTGAACCCTTCCTAGAATTGGCTTGTTCTCTCTCCTGTTTTAGAGTTTCCAAATTCGAACCACAAAGTTGTGATGAGGAGACCTGGGAGGCCACCTTTTTATGGTGGCCGGCCACTAATTATTCTTGACCCTTTTGACCCCTAGCCGGCCGGCTAGGGAGGGTGGCCGGCCGACCACCTGCAACAAAAATACCTGGCCGGCCATGATCCTCACACTGCACACTTTACAGCTGTACAGCTGTTTTCCCTAGAAAATATCTATATCCGGGGGATATTTTGTGGGGGAACAAAAAGCTTCATTTTGGCTCCACTTTTGCCTAGACTCTTCTCTCCCTCTCTTACATATATTGCTGGCCTCCCAACTCAAGAAAGAGGGTTAGAAGGATTGGTTGGAGCATATACATACATATCACTCCATTTCCTTCAAGTTTTGGGCTCCATTCCTTCATCATCTTCAAGCTCTACCATCACCACTCCATTCCAGCCGCAAGGGGAGGAATTCCAGCAGCTTAGAGTCATCAAAGTTGGTCCAAGAAGCAACAAAAGCATTGGCCCTCAAGGGTAAGTCCACTTTCCCTCTTTTCTAGCTCATTTTTGCACCAATTTCTTAGCCAACATGCTTACTGATTTGAGCTCCGACAAAAATTGAAAAGGTCATTTTTTTGAGTTCATTTTCTTGTTTCATTAAGGGCTCAACCCTGTTTGAGGCCCCCATATTGCACTTACTTCAATATCCCCTTGTATGTCAATTTTCTTGCATGATTTATTAGCCTAGTGTACTTCCATTTTTGGGCGTTTTACAGAACTAAAAATAGGCTTATTTTGAGCCCCTTTTCAATATTGAAGAAGGACTCATCACTGTTTGAGGCATATTTTATACACCTTGTGTTATACCTCTCTTTTGGCCCCCATTCTTGCATGCTTTGGCAGCCCATTATGCTTCCATTTTTGGACGATTTTCAGAACTGAAAGTGGCCTTATTTTGACCTTATTAACATGTTTTATTAAGGGTCTTTGCTTGTTTGGTGAATGCTTTGTATACTTCATGTTATAGCCTCTTTTGAGCCTCATTTTGCATTGCATTTCTAGCATGTTTGTATACTGTTTTGGGGTTTTTACAGTTCTGTAAATATGCTTATTTTTGGTCCCTCTTCAATGTTGTTGAAGGGCCCTAACCTGTTTGGGCTGTGCATATACCACTTGCCTCTTTGGCCACCTTTTGGCCCATTTTCTTGCATAAGAGCTTAGCCATACCTGTGTCTGTTTTTGGGCTCTTTTCAGAACTGTAAAATATCATATTTTGGGTCTGCATAAAATTAAAAATGGAAGTTCATTCAAGAAACCACTACACCTTAACGATCTGTTTGGAAATTAAATAAAAAAGGAAATTGAATAGAAAAGGAAATTGAATAAAAATGGAAGTTGAATAAAAATACAAATGGAAGTTGCATAAAATTAAAAATGGAAGTTCATTCAAGAAACCACTATACACTACAACAAAAGTAACCTATGATGACGAAAAGCAGTGAAGAAAATAAATTTCGTCACTAAATAAGAATAATCCGTGATGAATTATAAACTTTTGTCACATATAATAAAAAAATAAAAATAATAGGTGACGAAATTTATTTCCGTCAATAAATACTTACTTTTAGGTGAGAAAAAAATTAAGTTTCGTCACCTAAATTTTTCCCACTAATTTTTTTTTATGGTGCCAAAATTTTGAAACTTTTGGTGAGAAAAAAAATCGTCACAAATTATAAAATTATTAGTGAGGAATATATTTTTGTCACTAATTTTTTTTTTTTTTTTAAGAAACTTGATTTTAAATATTTTAAGACCATTTGGTGAAAAATATATTTTTGTCACTAATAATTATTAATATTTTGAGATTTTTTAGTGAGGAAATTATTTTGTCACTAATTTTGGAGGGAAAATTTTGACATATTGGGCGGTAATGAAAAAAAATAAACTACTTACTTCCCCCTCTTTTTTTTTGTTTATTAGTTTTCCTCCTCCTCCTCCTCCTCCCTCTCTCTCTCTCTCTCTCTCAAAACAAAACACAAGTTAATTAGCTCTTCAAGAAACCTATGGTGACGAAAAATAGCGAAGAAAATAAATTTCGTCACTAAATAAGAATAATCCATGATGAATTAAAAAATTTTGTCACATTTAATAAAAAAAATTAAAAATAATAGGTGAGATAATTTATTTTCGTCAATAAATACTTCTTTTTGGGTAAGAAAAAAAAATTAAATATTTACATTTTTCTTGTTTAAACAAATACGATGCAATGCTATTTTGACACAACCCCAACCAATTTTTTAAGTAGCTTTTTCTTTTCTTTTTTTTGACTTTTTAAATTTTTTTATAAAAAAATTAAATATTTATACTATACCTGACCAAACAAAAACTTAAAATTAAATATATATATATATATATATATAATTCACTCCACATTGAAAAATAAAAATCACTTGGAATTATTATTTGAAAGAAATAATCACTTGAATTTTTTTTTCTTTTTTTGGATCAGCAGACCACTGGTCTCTCTCTTTCCATCCTTTTCATTCTCTCATCTCTCTCTTATTTGTGCTCTCCCAATCCAGAACGTTCTCATCACCGACCCCCTCTCTCTCATCAGCGACTGTGAGTCTCTCTCTCTCTCTCTCTCCATTGTTCTCTTCGATGAGCAAGGGACTATCAGCAGGGGTCTCTTCTCGTCGCCGATCCCCATCACTCTCTCTTCTCGTTGTCGATCGGTCTCTCACAGTCGACATCCTACCCCTCTCTTTTTCTCCATCTCTTTCATCTCTCTCTTTCCCTCCATCTCTTTCATCTCTCTCCGGTGAACATCAGTTGACGAGGATCTAACATCACAAAACCCCTCTTCGGTGAACATCAGTCAACGAGATCAAAGATCACAAACCCTCCTCGCAGATCGTAGCTTTATTCATAGATCACATATCACAAACTCAAACTCGTAAGAATATTGAAATATAGATATTTCTTGTTTAAAATTTACTTTAGATTTTCGAATCTTTGCTTGAGATTGCTTGAGATTGTTGTTGTTTGGTTGAGATTTGTTGAAATTTGTTTGAGATTACTAATAATTGTTTTGAAATTGATTGTTGCTGTTGTTTTTGGTGAATTTGTTTAAAAAAAATAAAATTGTATGATGCATTTATGTATTTAAGCAGAATTTAGGGGATAGTAGGATGCTTGATAGATTCATGAATGGAGTATACACTGAGTTTTTGATTGGTTTGTCAAACATGTGGAATGGCCATCTCATTTGCAGGCAAGCACACCCAATGCTTGTGATTTTTATCTCATACATGCAAGCATTTTCACATTTTATTGGAACTAAACCAATGTAGTTTGTTGGAGGGTCTGTAAAAAGATTAATTTACCTACATGAATTTAAGTCTATTGAACATATACAAACTGCCAAAACATAGGTGGTCACCCCAATTTGAGAAGATCTGGTGTTGATTCAATTTTATGTTACCCACCTTGAAGCTCATTTCCCAATTTTGAAACCTTGGAACTAATTTTTAGGACTTGTAAATGAATCATTGAGCCTCTTCTTGTTCTTCTGAATGTGTTTTCCAATCATTGCTCGATACTGCTCCTTTGTAATATGCACATTGTAATTGCCGTTTTCATCCTCATCACAACTATATGCTTAAATTATAATGAAAAAAAAGTTGCAGACAGTGATACTGCAACTCCATGGCCTGGTATAACAAGGGTAATATTGTCCTTTTATTTATTCAATATGGTGGAAAAACTGTTGTCCAATCATTCAGTCAATTTCTAAGTATGTGTGCATTACCCTCTCTGTTAAAATGCATTCAAAAAAAATGATTATTTCTTTTTTTAGTCATGAACACAGGGTTTAAGTGTTGCTTTTGAAGTTCAAAGAGTGTATGTGTTTTCAAGGTAAACCACATGGGAGTAAAGTGAAATTGACCTAAAAAGATTCTCCCAAGTTGCTTTATTTAAGGCTTCAGGTTTTCTTACTACCCCAATAAACATTCTTTCAAGTGGTCCTTGTACAATAGGACCAATTGACTGGAACAAATTAGTCATTAATCTTTGCAAATAGCTGATTAGATTGACCACTTCTCTCATCTCATACATTAAATGGTTGTGCCTCACATTCTCATGTGATTAACTTGTACCTTAATGTTATGCAACATCTATGAGCTTTTGCTAGTGTTTCTCAATGTTTAATCTTCCTTGTATTTGTTGTTCCATCTATACACTGGACATCCAGGGCGGATTATAATCCAGATTAGTATTTATGGGAAGAGGATTTTACTCTTGCGGGCACAAAGTACAAAAGACAGGACCTTGAGGCAAGTATGGACATCCATTACCAAACTTTCAGCTTCCATTGCCACTACCTATGTGCAATACACATTCTGTTTCATATTTATTATGGTTTAAGCTTCGTAGACTATGTATTATTTCAAATTTCCAGCTAAGGAATCAAAGAGGCCACACCTTGTAATGCAGTCATTATGTGGGTTCACCTTTCCCAGAGGACACTCCTTTACCTTGTGTTGTATACTGCCATGGAAACAGGTTTGTCACAATCTCAATTTCATCTTTTCAGATTCCAAACCTCTCTCTCTCTCTAAAAAATCATTTTCATCTTTTCCGATTCCAAACCTCTCTCTGTCTCTATGTCTCTCTCTCCAAACCCTAACCTTAGTCTTCTACATATCCTTCGATCGGTCGGCACTGTCTCTATTCTTCGACCGGTGAAGAGTGATGAGCAGTGGCAGTGGCGGCGAATGAGCTCAGTCTCAAATCTAAGTCTACAATCAATGTTGAGTTCACTAGCAAAAGATTGAATGTTGATGGCAAAGTTATCAAAGCTCGGATTTCGAACACTGGTGCTGGCTAAGAAAGGTAATTTTTAGTTTTAATTCATGATATGGGTTGGTTTGATTAGAATTTAATTGGTATGAAGAGATCTGAAGTGTAAGGAATATAAAAAAACTCGCACTTTTTATTGGGATTTTTCTCGGAAAATGCCTTTCAAAGTATTTTCTTAGGAAAATTAGCAGGTCACACTTTTTCACTGCAGTATTCTGGTCTTGGGCTTACTGGGTCAATGGGATACCAGCTCGCAAGTTTGACAGCAGTAACCAATTTGTAAGATCAATAGCCTTCTAAGATGATTTGCTGGTGTTTTCATCTTTCTGTTTGATAATCTTGATGTGGTGATTTGATGAATTCTGCAATTATATAAGCAATAATAATCTTGGAAACCAGATACCTTATCAGCTTCCTCCAAACTGCACGCAACTGTATGCTTAATACCTACTGATTTTTCCTTCTCTTCTATTTTAGTCCTTTAATTTCATTTATCAAAAAATAAAAATAAAAAATTGCACTTTTTAGTTTTCTTATGGTTGTTTCATCAGCAATCCTTTTATAATGCAGAAACCTTGCTGGAAATGGCTTCACTAGTGGCATCCCTTATTCAATATCTTAGATGACTTCCCTAAAATACCTATTAGTCAAGCATCCGAAATTTGATTTTTATTGTTCGTGTCAAAACTATTTAAAACTTCACACTGAACCACTGGTTGTTACATTGTGCTTTGATTGTAGAAATGTTGGTCACAATCAACTTCAGGGCCAAGTGAATGACATGTTTGGTGAGCTTTCATCCCTCTCCACATTGTAAGTTTACCCTCCATCACCTTTTTTCCTTGTGGAGTTCTCTCAATTATGCATACCTTGACATACTTGAGGCGTTATCAGCAGCATTGTCTTTCATTATGATGTACAAGACTAAATGATTATAGTGTTCAGCCTTTTTCAATTCTTAAACACTTTGGTAATCATTACTTTCCATGCCACAGATGAGAAGCTTTATTTTGTGTTTTGTTTATTTTTTTGGGGCACAAATCAATATTGGTTGTTATAGCATTCTAAAGTATGTACTTTAGAAAATGTTACACGTGCTAACTAGCTCTTCAAAAGGTGGGGTGGGGTGGGGGAAGTAATTCAACCCCTTAAAACTTTTTTTTTTGGGCCTTTTGTATTATGTAGTTTCCATGGATTGAACTAAGCATTACAGCTTTTTTGTCCATCCTGGATATTGCCTGCTAAGATTTCATAAACAGCTTATTGGGATAGATGTGGATGAATAAATAATACGCCCCATAGACACATGTAGGAAGTTTTCTCCCCATGCCTTTCTTTGTTCATGGTTCAATGTTCTAGTGTCCAAGGAGCCATTTTCAATATGTAGAATAGTAATAGGGTACCATGATTGTTTTTATGTACACTAAGGGGCTACAAGATATTAAATTACTTATTTCCCCGTTGAGGTTTGTTCTATGGTAAAGCCTTCAACTTAACTTAAATGTAACATTTTTGCTCACAAACCTTGTGTACTCAGAAATAATTTGGTTGAACTAAAAAGACATAGGAAGTAATTAGCTGTTTTGATAGGAGCTATTTAGGTAAAGAAAGACATGATTAATCCTGTTGAACCTATAATTGTGTGCTTTGACTTGTTCATTTGAGTTCTTGTTTGTATAAGAGTGGCAACCCCTCCGATGTTGTTTCTTTAATCAATTATTATTTATCAAAGAAAAAAAATTGAATTTTTATTTGAAGACATATTTCCATTTGCTTTTAGTAGAAAAATTAGGATTTTTGTACAAGCTACTTGCATGAAGAATAGCACTGTGATGTTTCTGACTTCAACTCAATAGTTATGAACTGCACTATGACGTTTGTGACTTTGGCTGAAGTTTTTAGAACTCCAAACTAAGGGTGGTTTGGGTATGACTTATTTAGTGGCTTATTGGCTTTTTACGAAAATACATGCACAAAAGTAGAGAATTGATGTGATAACTTGTAGTAAATAAGCCAATAAGCAGCTTATTTAGGTGGTACCCAAAATAGTTAAGACTTCTTGGCTGTTGCAAATTGGAATATGTATATAGTGTTGAGCTTCCCCTTGCACTGCTATTTTTGGGGTCCTTTACTTATTTTAGATCTCTAAATTCTTATCGATTTTGTTTTTTGGACAGACATATATATATATATATATATATGGCAGTGTAATGAACTTTAGTTAGTATTGGCATAGCTGAATGTTAACCGTAGCATAACTTCTCTCCTTGTGTAGCAGGTTCTCTCTCCTCCTATGTTTCTTTCCATTATTTTCCCCTCATTTCTCTTTTCTATACTCTATTTACTTACTCTTCGTTTCTTCTTCTCCCTCTCTGGTTCTTCTTTGTATTTCTTCTCTGCTGCTTCTGCTTATATTTCCCTTCTCTATTTCCCCATCATCCCCGATATAAGGTAACCTTTATTGCCTTTCAATTAATTACAAGTTCTTTTTCTTTGTATGTTTTTCCTTGTAGGTTGTTTTGTATTATTGCATGATGCTACTTTTTCAATTTTATCAAGGTTTCTTGTTATTGATGATGTAGTTTCAGTTGAGCATGGTCTAAATAGCCAATTTGTAGCCATAACATCTAAATTCAAACTTGACCACCAATTTAGTATACTAGCCTATTGCGTCCAAGGAACTTTTTTTTTTCTTCATCAAAATGGCTGAAATGTTTTTGTTTCCTAAGAAACCAACTTGAAACATGAGTGCAACTATGAAATTCTAACTTTTCCATTAAAGCATAACAAAACATCAATTTTTTTAAAAAAAAATATCTTAGAGATCAAGCAGTAGATCATTCAGGAGAGATAAATACTATATGTTAGAAAGTTTCCTGTTTTTGTTCCTAACATAAAGTTTGACTATAGTGATGGATCGGTACACATCATTGGTATAATGATTTCATTAATAACATCTTAATTGTTCTCAATTTAGTTGCCTTAAAACACCTGCCAACCAGACGGACGGACGGCGGCGGCAGCGCGCGTGTGTGGTGATTTTTGGGTCTAATGGGTCTAGCTCATTTTGCCCATAACCTCCCTCTCTAAAACACTTGGATACCCATTGGGGGCACACCACAAGTTCCAATCCCATGCCTTATAAACCCATTCAAAACTTCCCACCAAATCAACATGGGACAAGCCTTCTTCAAACCTTAAGGAATTTCCACCAAAACTATTTCCATGGAGCATGCTTTGGATTCAATTTTCCATTCACTCGATAATGGTTTTGAGTAACCAAATATACCACGTGAATCACAACATGGCATAGAACGCGTTACCACTTAGACCCGCGAAAAACGACGCTCAGGTCCCACCTAAATATTAGACCAAAGTTAGGAAAAAATCTATTTTTTACCCAGATTTTCCAAACCATTTCCAATAATCCCCCACATGAATGGAATTTGACGACAACGAAAATGCAACAATATGCAGACTTTATCGAAAGAGTATAAGTCGAAAATATCTTGTATCAGAATAAGTAGCTTTCGGCCTTGAACCTTCCCTAGTAATAACCTATCGGACTTACTAGCTAACCAATGGACGCGATGCCAT